CAGTCTCTAAAGTATATGTTACCTACTTTACTAAATTTCCTCTTAAACAAAAACGTTGATATAATGTCTGTCACAATGCAAGATTTAGTTTCTTATTTGAATTGAATATATTACTTTTCTGCGATAGGTTATAATCTATTTTTGTATACAATGTTGATATTTTTGCTGTTGCTTTGTATTTCTAATCTGTCATGTGAAACTGTAAGGGAGCAGGGGGCTTCGTCAAGCTGTTAAACAGCTTTTTCCCTCTGTTTCCTCCATTCCTGTATCGAATGGGAAATAAACTTTATTATTATTATTATTATTATTGTTAGCTAAAATGAAAGCTGCACATTGCAACGGGTCTAAGAGACACTTTATTACACGGGCAAAACATTACGCCGCTAAATAATCGATGTGAAGTGGCACGACGTTTGCGTACAAGACGTCTATAGGAAAATGTGATTGTTTTAATTAGGAAATATTGAGTCACGCCATAATTGCTGTAGGAATGCATATTTTATACAGAAATATATCAACAAAAAGGCGAGGCACGCAGTGATTGGACACAGCAATACAGATCAGTTAAAAATCAGGTAGACGTAGCCAACGCGGACACGGCTCGACAACTGTCACTTACGATTATGTCAGCGATGTTATCGCGTGCAGTGGTAGAATTAAAATTAATGTAATTTCGATCAAATGACAATATAGGGCCGACGAATTAGCTTGCGACGCTCATATAATCACTCAAAACAGCGAGCTGATTAAATCCCGTATTATTTGATCAAAATATATTAACTTTTCCGTGTAGCAAGGGTACCAAACTTACTATTTACAGTCAACTAATTTACTTCTCCCTATGGGCTCGAGCTGCCTAAGAACAAAATATAACCTATTTTGTATACAATAATACAATTACCTTAATACAGTTAAGATTCTATAATTAAATATGGCAACCAGCCAATTCCTAAACATGTAGGAGCCCTACGTTTCGAACCGTCTCGGTTCTTCGTCAGGGTCGACTGTGGCCGTTGAGGAGCGGCGTTTTTCGATCTTCTTTTTCTTCTCTCAAGGACATTTGAGAGAGATTTCTCTAAAATGTTTAGTTTCAAGTTAAGGTTTTAGTATAAACGCGATAGAGGCAACAAAATAACATTAGTATAAATAAACACATAAGCACAAACAACGCATTTTCAATAATCACACAAACTTGTTATTTACCTTCCAGTAAAAACTAGAATATTACCACGCGTATTTACAAATGTCGACGCAATGGCAAACGGATAACGACGAAGAACAAATTGCCATTCTATCACGAGATTTAAAAAAAAAACTAAAAAAAAAACGACTGCAGCATTTTACTTGCGTCTTACATCACCACGAAAGCCCGCAAATAAGTTGTTCCTCACCTGTCGATCGTATCCATACGTACCACACGATCCATCACGAAAACATTTGAACACAAACTTCTAGAAGTCTCTCACTGTCGAGAGAGAGGTCATCGGGCAGTGTCATCGTTGACTAGTTGCCACATACGTCACTAAAACCGTAGCAGGACTTGTTTCGCAAATCCACGTAAATGCCGTAGTATCAAGGGAACACAAAAAAAAAAAAACGAGACCGCGGTGACGTAAAAAAAAACGGCGGGTAGGAGGATCAAAAGAACCACACACAAACAAACACACACACACACACACACACGCACACACACACACACACACACACACACGCACACGCACACGCACGCACGCACGCACGCACGCACGCACGCACGCACGCACGCACGCACGCACGCACGCACGCACGCACGAGAGCAGCACCAGCAGTGTGGGACGAGGCTTAACATTGTCGACCCATCTCTTCCTCGTATACGCTCCCTCCCTGCGGCGATGACTGGATCTTTTTTTCGGTTCTTCTCCCTTCTGAAATGTCTCAGCGTTCCTTTGCAGACAGTCGGAAGCTCACACACAACGTAAATTTACCAGAATCGGAGCCCGTACGAGGGAAGATGATGTCGCATCGGAAGAAATTCAGAGCCGGTTCATTCGAAAAGTGTGGGGAGATGCGGGACTGCGCGTAGTCCCGCGGTTTCGAGGAGAAACATAAATATAAATTTGGTACTTACAATCTTGGTATTGCGTTGTATATTACGTTGATGTTATATATATAATAAATTGTACAAGACTGCTCATTCAAAACGAGTATTAATGTCGGATAAACGCGCGCGAACATTAAAGTGCCGCTCGAGAAGAAGCATTCTTTCCACGTCGATATGCGTTGACAGCAGAAATTTTCTCACGTAGTTGCGCCATGGCCTTCCGTCCTCCGACATTGTGACTTACTCACTCGGAGCGCTACGGCCCTATTTCTAGGAGGTGTTGGTCGGATGCGGATCACTGCTGATAGGCGAAGATGTTTCGCCTTTTTGTTTTCCCGCTTTCGGGAAAGGGGACTCGTCCGGTGACTGCGAAAGAGATAGGACGTGTATCGGCGATTTCTCCGATGCTTCCCCGATCTTGGCTCTCCAGAACCCCGTGTCCGGCAGGTAAGTACATTTTCTTACCTTGCCGCCGCGGGGGGCATTTTGGATGGGGGCATTGTTGTTCTTTTAGGGAGTGTTTACTAATCGCTTCTGGACTCTGTCCTTACGTCTTCTCTTCCGATATATTCAAGAGAGTGAGACAAGGTAGTCGATCATTGGCACTGAAGGAGGTAATTAATCGAACCGACCCGCGGTAAAGTAGCCCTAAACGTCGTCTGTATTGCCAGTGGGAACCGCGCTACTAGGTTTGACATCTCCTTTGAGATCGCCGCCGTGCTGAGATAACCCTTTGGTTACTCTAGCGGTACCTGTGTTGGTAGCTAGCAAATCCCACAGTATGTACTTAGTAAATCTAAAATTTGGTGGCACATTCTTTGTGTACCATAAGCTGTTCATGTTCATGATCAATGGTAATGCATGCGGCGTAATGTGTTGTTATAATTATTGATGCATGAAATGAGGATCTGTCGTTATTTTGTGGAACAAGTATATTATCAATTTTTGCGTGAGTGATTGTTCTTTTGTAAGAAGAGAATACTTAATGAAGAATGGATGAGAGTGCAGAGCATTGTCAATTGATCGAATTCTAAAGAATTTAGAGATGCTAGGTGGAAGTTTTTGAGCAAGTACTCCACTTTAAACAGCAATCGTGCGAGCGAGCGAATAATAGAATTGGCGCTTTAACCAAAAAGAGAGGATATTTTTTAGTCTCTCCTCAAATACTCTTGACGTAAAAATGGTGGGTCGTATTCGTTCAATATAAAATGACCAAATTAAATTTTCATGAAAGTACACCCCTAAAGTCTTGTGGCCGTTTTACTTTTCCATTTTACCAATTTAATAATTTCTAAATTGTGAACCAAGTGTTCGATCAATCTGTTTATTTTTCGCTCTAATACTTCGTTTTTCTGTGTCCAATTCGAACTCAATACATGCTAACCATGCACTTAGCTGCGTCATGCATTCTATGTCAAATCCTCAATCTCATCTGTTTCTTTAAAAAAATACACTTGTGTTATCTGCGTATTGCATGATCTCGTGTATGTAGTATGTTCCCAAGTGTATCTTGTAAGCAATGCATCAGCCTGTCGGAGTAAACAAAAACTTGTTGGGAAATAAAAGTTACACCCCTATTGTCAGTCGGAAATATTAATTACCTTTACATTAGGTATAATTTAAAAAAAAACGATATGCCGTCACACGTGACAAGAAACAATCAGAGCGAAGATTGCATGTTGATTCGCCGTTTGCCCATCAACACTAAAAAATGTTTACATCCTAAGATGGTAAATAAATTTGCAGGAGAAATACAAACCTAAGAGTGTTGCAGCAACACCCTTAGGATGCTGGTGGCCATAGCAGGATGCTAACACTTTTTTACAAACAATAAATTATTAGCTCAAGTTTAAAAGCAACAAAGAAAACATGCATATAAAAGCAAAAACAGATGCAGATAACAACGCACGAGAAAGAATAATGACCCCGATGGCTGTTCTACCACCTTATATTGGCGACAATTAAAAGCCCTGCCCTCATTCGAAAGTGACCGTCTCCGCAATTACAAAGGTAACAGATATCATATATGTTGCTTTGTTCTTTGGAATATTTCTCATAAAGCAAATTATATCTAAGCTGCATCCTTGAGCAAGTGATTATGCAAAAAGAAAATTACGCAGTTATCATCGATCGCTGTTTTTTTAATCGCGCTGCACGAGATTCGTTATAAAGAGCATTCGTTCCTCAATGTGGCCATGGGTGGCAGTAGTACTTTTAAAACTGGTGGATATAGTGAAGTTCGCCGTCTAAACACGAAGGTCAAATCAGTTAGTATTAATTAGTTCAATATTTCTACTATCGTAGCCTTTTTAATTGCTGAAACTTTTTTTTGTACTCTTTTATGGCAAGCAGAAAGCGGAGCTGTACTTTTATTTGACTACAAAGAGTTTCCGAGTTTTTTTGTTTTTTTTTCTAGTTTTAGCAGTGTACGAGTATGTAACCTACCCACAAGTTAACCGTTTGTTATTTTAAGGCATATGCGAAACTATGTTACTTTTGTAGTTTTGTACTTCGTAGTTTTTGTTTCGTTTACTCGTTTTCATCATAGAAGGAATTTGTCATTTTTAATTATATGTTAACCTCACCGCAATGGTGACATCCATGATTTAGTGGTTTATGAAAAAACGTGAAAGCACAGCCGTCTTCATTTCACATAGGATATACGCGCAAGCTTCTTGCTTTCGATCTCTCCTCGGTTGCACGAACGCTCGTACAGTGGGAACGCCACACAAACTACCCGTTCGCGCTCGCAACCTTTGCTGCAGCCCATGTTGACCTGATACATTGTAACCTGACCAGCTTCGTTCCACATACACACGAGTTCTCTCAGGAACGTTTTGGCTTGCCTTTTTATTATTTTTATTAATGTAGCCATTCCCAGATAATCTTCTTTTTTTTTTTCTGAAAGCGCACACACAAAGCCTTTAAAAAATCGAACTTTATTTTGCCTTGATTGCAGGATAAAAATGAAATGATTTCCGAGTATCGGAACCTTAGGCGTGAGTGCTCTTGAGGTTGGTGAAGTACTTCTTTGCATTCTCCACGATGGTGGCCCTGTAAAGAAATGAATAATCGGTAAGGAAACTTGAACCGGGTTGCATCCAAGAATAAGGATCTAAAAAATAATTTTATGAAGGCGTTTAGCTAAAACTGGAGTACAGATTTCGCACCTTGAGAGTCTGTGAGCAGAATTTAAACTAATACTGAATGAAATGCAAATTATTTTTTAAACTCTTTCTTGTCACCTTATATTCAATCACTGTCTCTCAATTATTTTACGTGAACAAATAGAGTTTTACTATTGTTTTATTGTAAAAGAAAAGTGCGAAATCTTGTCTTTAGCATAGAAGAATACCCGATCGCGTCATGCTCGTAAAGTTTTGAAAGCGTGAACAGTGTCCTCCAAGTGCACAATAGAGCAACGTCCAGAATACCTTGTATATAATAGATATGTGCATTTTTACGGTCAAGCAGTACCTTAGATTCTTATTCAATTTTTTTTAACCAATCACTTCTACGCAATATGTACAGACTTAAATACTATGAAGGGAAACCTAATTTGGGTGTTTTAGGTGCCAGAATAACAAAAAGAAGCTAGCACGCCTCAGCGAAGTTCAAACTAATCTTGACCACCAGGGGAAACTTCTGACGTGCAACCGAAATCTCAGTTACACAGGGATTTCTCTACAATAATCCCCCCGTCAGATTGCGGACACCTCGACCGGGATTCGAAACCACCAACTGGGGATTCGTAGGTTAGTGCTTCGCTTCGGAGCTGCCGAGGTCCCGATAAGTTTAGAAACGCGATTCTATCAGGGTGGAGGATAAAAATCAAGATAATTTGAACTTTGATTTAAATCAGGATTTATATCGGGATTAAAATCATGCCAGTTTTACTAGGATAATATAAATCAACTCTTTCCCTAACAAAATAGTTTTTATTCCTTTTATGTGCATTTGTTTCGTATCTAAAGCAATAATCATTAAGCAAGAAAAATATAGCAGGTAAGACTCGAGCAAAAGCAGGACTCTTCTGAGCAAATCAGAACGTTAAGATGTTCATCTAACTGCCACTTTTTCAGTTAAGTGGTGTTCTATTACAAGCCAATCTCAACGCGAAGAAAAAAAACACGAAAACTAATGCAATAAAGCAAGCGAATTAAAACGTGAAGAAAGCTATTAAACCTTCTTTATTCACAAAAATCACGTTACTTTTGTTCTAGAATGGTAGGATGTATTAAAAAATTTCAAATATAGTGCACTTGAAATACACAGTCATTATTTCATCCACGTTGTTTTCAATATTCTGATGAATCTAAACAAATCTGCCATCCATAAAAACATCTAGTATTAAAGAATTACCTTTTAAGCTACAGTAATTTAAATTAAATTTATATAATTCAAATTAACTAAATCCAACTTAAATCAAATAAATCTAATTAATCGAATTTAAATTTTTTTTATGTTTAGGTTTACAAAGTTGTATGTCATTCTAACCTTCTCAACCAATTAGCTAGTGAGCGTCGGTTGCTTCAGAACCCAGCAGTCCGGTGCCACTCGCACAAACGCTCAAACTCGTACGTTCTAGGGGTTACGTAGAAACGCAAGCTAGACTACGAACATCCAGTTATTTGCAGCAGCAGCAACAGCCCGTCTTTCGGAAGGCGAGATTAAACTACGCTTCACATTTCGTGTAGAGGTAAGGCGTAATCACAAACGCCGTTTGGTCAAACATCCATAGACGTCGTCCTTTCGAGCGCATGTGCAAGCGCTGGTCCCCCACTGCGCTTATTTCTCGACACTAAGATAAGAGTCCCACGCGGACGATGCGTGAAATCTTCACTACATCCGTCATAGAGATGCAACATACTTCTCCCGTTAGAGCGTGCCCCGATCTTCCGCTCTGACGGCGCCACTCCGTCTCGCACCCAATACCGACAACTCGTGATCACAGACACAAATACAAAACGACACGGCCCACACGAAACTTACAGCTCAAGCCCGGAGGTGCTCTTCCACGTTCTCCAAGGTACAAATAAAGCGAGAAGCCTCGTGCCACAAAGGGATTCATGTCACCAGCCTTAGATTGACGCGCACACATTAAGTATCGGTATCACCGCTAGCACGTTGTGCAAAATGCAGCGTCCAAACACTGTCCGATGAGTGCCTCTTCTTTGTAGGGCGCTCCAGTGACATTAGTTATAGAAGAAACAAAACGTCTACAGACAAGTTCGAAACATGTGCGAGGCAAACATGCTTGGAACACAAGTGAAGCGTGTCTCGCAAATAGTCCTGTCACCGTGTCTGCAACTCTCTTATACGATGTGTTAGCATTGAGACTGAGGAACTTGGGGCTTCCGGCGCAGCGAAGCCTACCTGAAGTGGACCTTGCCGGCAACTCCGGCGGGGGCCTTCCACTTGAGCGCGGCGGTGGTCTTGTCGCCGCCCTCGACGTGGGTGGAAGCCGAGCACTTGGTCAGGGGCTGCGAGATGGCGGTCTTCTCGAACTGGCCGACCTCCTTCTCGTTCTCGTCGAAGGCCTTCACTAGGAAGCCCTTGAACGGGGTTCCGGAAGTGGACAGGGTCACTGCGTCGCGGGAAACCGCCACACGTTCGTGAATGGCGAAGAATCGCGGTTGGGCGCACCGTGCGTTCTTTCGTTCAATAATAAACGAATACCGGGAAAGCGACTAAACGCCCACAAAGTTCCATCGAACGCCGAAAGCATAAAAAACGGCTGCAGAGTAGCTCGTGCATCTCTACGCCTGGCCCCAAAGGTCAAAAAGCAAAAGTTACATTTTCTTTCATTTTCTTTTTTTCCTCCGATGGCTACTCGCATTTGTTGTGAAAGTCTGGGGGAAATAAAGGCCGCGGGAAGGGGCGGGGGGGGGGGGGGGGGGGGGAGGGCGCGAAGGTACTAGATTTATATCACAAGGGTATGCTAAACAAATATTCTCAAGATAAGGTTAAGGTTTGCCTAGGTAAACTTGTATGCGCTTAAACTAGCCCTTAGCGGGTTTTCTTAAGTATTAGGCGCGGGAAACACTGTAGGTCGATAACTGTTTCCACTTTTTCTTACTTTCACAAACTTTTCGCTGCTATTTTACGGCTTCGGACAGTACTTGACGGAGTTTGTAATACGTTTGACCTACCTTCTACGGACTTTTTCGATCAATTACAGACATTTTCATGCACAATCATTCCGATAACCAAAGGTCCGGCAGGCTTCCGGGTCCAGCGGCTTGCCGTTAGCAATACAACGGGAGCGGCCGAGCCTTGAGAGGTCGAAAGAGGGCCGTACCGATGACGACGTCTCCTCCCTTGAAGTCGACCTTGTTCTGGGTAAGGCGGTAGGGGCCCTTGCTGGCGTCCTCGAAGAGCGAGTCGCCGTGCTGGGGCAACATGTCGGCGCAGGCCTCTTCGGGGGCGCCGGTCGGATGGGCCAGGCAGCCGCTGATGGCCACCAACAGCGCCAGGAGGTTCAGGGCCTTAGATGCCATGGTAGTCTGCGACAAATAAAGGAACGAGAAATACCGTTGAGCCAAGTCTCCCCGCAAGAACCTTCGCGAATTGCTACATGCCCGGCGAGTTGGCAGCAGGCGCAGCTTCACCTCGAGGCAAGGATTCGAACTCCGCCTGCCTATACTCCGTTTCACTTTAAGCCTGACCGCAGTCAACGCTATGACTTGAATGAGCCAATCAAGCAGCGTCACAAGAGCATCTTCACCGCGCTCGTCATATTAGTGCATTTGCTAGTGCCGACTGAACCAGCCACGTATAGCGAATTCCACGTGACATTAGACTCTTTTTCTGGACATTATTGGTTTAGCCCAACGTTACTTCAACAACTCAGCTGGGAATCTTCCATAGAGCCTGCTTTGAAAACGTGGCTTCGATTCGTACTCGACAACCGAACTAAACGCGATCGCAAAACCGATGTTTCTTCCTCAGCGGACACTCCGGGAGCTGCACGTCTGCACCTATCGGTTCAGGTCAGGTCGCGCCAAGCCCAGTGGCGTCATCTCGCAGTGCCATTTCGCAGTAGCAATATAAATGAACTTTCATGTTTTGACTCCTCGTTAAAGGGTCGGGCTGTTGCCGTATTTAGTTTGATCTGGGTGGACGCGAACGGTCCGGGTTTTAAGAGTGAGTTTTCCCAACTGAGTGTTCCAGTAACGATGCTTTGGCCGGTGATAGGAAACGCACAAAAACCACGAGTGCCATGACGATGCACTTTTGCCGCTGCTTACTTTTGTTTCCTCGAGTCGTACCGTTGGGTACAATCGTAATTAATCTGAAACGAATTATACGGTGAGCACGTGTTTCAAAATGCGTTTTTGGCGGATCGAAACTCAAGGAGGAGAACGTCAATCAAAGGGGCATCATTGACAAGGCGCAGGGAACTTGCGATGACAATGCAGGTAAGTAAACGCCGTCATTGGTTGAGGTTGTGGGGACACTAAAGCAAACAGGATAGGTGGGGGAGTAGAATGGTGTAACAGATAGCACCCAATTTTGTGAGGCGCATGCGTATTTCCATCGTGATTAGAGAGTCGCGTTGTTTGTGTTTTCTTCGTGGTTTCCTGATAATAAACCTTTCAGTTGTTAGTCAGCGCTCGTCCTGCCCAGTTCCTTCCTCTGTCCCTGTAGAATTCGCGCTGTCCCATTATGAAACTAAAGCACGGGGGCACGTTTGAGAAGCGAAGAAAGGCACGAGGTGGCGCAAGTAGCGGACGAACCGGCACGCCGTATAGACCACCACGTGGCTCTGACGTCATGCCTCTGCGGTGGCGCCGTTATCACCACGGCGCAAGCGCAGAAGCTTCACCTTACGCAAATCTGCTTTCTGCGCTCGCGCAGTGCCCAGACCTGGTGTGGGCAAACCCGGGCTTCTTTGTTAGCAGCGTGTCGGTCCTAGATACTTCTGTTTACAAGTAACGACAGCAAATACCTTCCGCTGGAACAAAATGGCGTCATTCAGTCCAGTCCTCTGCTGTGCACCGCCATTCGCTTTCTAAAAGCTGCACCGTAACACAGTCGGCGCTTCAAAGATAGTCGCTGCTTGTAAGAAGCTCTTATCTATAAACTTTAGTATAGTCCAGTGTCAAATGCCCAACGTCATGGCGTTCTTCATCCTCCTGTACAATGCCTGTAGTCGGCTGTACCAACCAAGTTCAGTGAATAAATCGTAACCCGTCTCGAACACAAAAAAAAAAAAAAAAACGAAAAACATACACGTGTTTGGATGTGTTCAGAATTTCGACAGCGCTTTGACTTATCAAGAAAGCAAGTTATATAAACTGAGTCACACGACTTGAAGTAGGATTAAAGCCAAAATGAAACATCAGTTGATTCATCCAAATAAACAGGCTGAGGATACAACCGTTCCATTTCTTGGGCGCATTACTTTGAGGAAATGCCCCCACAGAGCGTGAAACGAAAACCTTAACTATTGGCGACGAGACAATAACCAACTCTTAAAGTCTTAGCCGTCCGCACGCAGACGCGAATATCAGTCGGTGTACACGCACAAGTTGGAAATAGTTAGACGGGCGGTGACCCTGGCACTCTTTCCATTCCAAGCGGCAGGCAGGCCACCGCGAATCGCCCCAACCAACAAAATTCACAGCTCTCGTTTACCTTGCGATTCGAACCTAGATGAGAAGGACGATACGCGTCCGTCGAGATTTGGAAGCGAGAAACGCGGTCCTCCTCAAGCCGACCGTCCTTGGAGCGGACCAGTCGTCCTCCGCGCGACTTCTTTCGCTGATCTTCTTTCCGATGTCGACGACGACGCCGAGGGACCGTCAGGTGTCCGTGACTGAACCCCGCCGGTGACTACACCACTTGGCATCTCGACTGGCACAGAAACCTCGCCTCGTTTTCCTGTCCATAGTCCGCACACGGTGTATAGATTATTCTAACACGGAAAGCAGTTGAGGGAAACGGGAAAATGAGAGCCGGGGGGGGGGGGGGGGGGGGGTTCAATGTGAGAAGCTCTGATTTGAATGATTAATGGGTAGACACAAAGGCTAACTCCTTTTCCACCCACTGTCTTCCTCTCATTATAGAAAACAAACAAGTCTGCTTCTCGCGTAGCGTTTCGCGTTCGAAGGCCGGCGTTCGAGCGCGGTCGAACAGTGAGTAGGGACGAAAACAGCTAGCCTTGACGTCTACCCGCTAGTTGTTCTAATCAGAACCGAGCACTTTCGTCTTCTCCTCTCCCCCAGTTTCTGAACGTAGAATGGCCTTCTGCGCGCCACCATCTTCGTCTGCCTAGTTGTGGAAGGAGTTCCGAGCATGCGCAGTAACTGTTGAAAAAAGTTTAAAAAAAAAAGAAAAAAGAAAGCGATTCGGAAGACATTCCGAAGAATCAACAGAAAGTGACGGTTTTGCCGTACATTCAAAGACTGTCCCACAATCTTAAAAAGGTTGCCGGTTGTTTCGGGGTTTCCTTTGTGTTTACGGCACCGTCAAAATTATCCAGATTATGCCTACGAGTGATAATAAAGCAGACAAGGAGGAAACGTGCACAACAGAGCATGTAAACAAATATGTAGATTGAGAAACATCGGTGGTTTACGAGATACGAACGACGTGCAAGAGAACGTGTATAGGGCAGGCGGGGAAATGCGGAAACGAGAGAGCCCGGGGACAATGACATATATGCAAGGCGGTCACCCTCATGATACTTGGCCATTCACTGTGACAGGTGCCCATTTCTTCCTGTACTCGATGAAATGCAGATTATGGGAAGGTATGAAAAAAAAAAAAGCGAAATCTTTGAGGTTTTTGAAATCAGGTTGAAAGGCGATGAACATGTATCAGCAATGCGTCATCACTTTTATTAGACAAGAAGATTAAATTCTCGCGAGAAGTTTGATCATGAGCGAATGGTTAGCTGGAAGTCGGCGTACGTTCGTTTTTTCCCAATAAAACGTCTGTTGACAGCGGCGCATAGTCCTCCAATTCTTTGTGTTGTCCTGGTCTTGTCGTTTTTTTTAATCCCAGTAACTCTATACTGCGAAATAGCAAACTCCGTGAATGTGTCTACAACCCGGTGACTCCATATTTATTACCTTGGAGATAATCGGTGGATGATCGCTGAAAATCAAAGGTAAAATTCTGTAGAAAAAAAAATCTTTGTTTTTGTTTCTTTGACAGTTTGCGCTTTGCGCATAGTCCGCGCCCGGTCTGCACCTGGTGCTTAGTTCGCACATGAGAATTGTCATACAAAACACGCATTAATAAATGCCTACTGAATCAGCTCACAGAGATGTTTGTATCATACCTCAACAGTGTTGGCGGTAACGCGTGAAAAGTAACAGCGTTACAGGTAACGGGTTACTTTTTTTTTAACGTAGTAACGTACTGGATACTTTTTGTTAAATATAGTAACAAAAAGTATACTCATGTTACTTGTTTCGAGCAACGGGCAACGTAGTTACGTTACTCGTTACACCTTCTTCTAAAAACTTCATTTTTAAAGGCGAGTTTTTGTTTTATTTCTTTTTGCCTTTTTCTTGTTAGTATTCATGTGACACCGAAATAAACATAAGGTAGTTATGTTTCTTCATTGACATTGCTTCTTGAAAAATTGCATTTACGCTTACCTGTAACGTAAAATATCAAAAACGTTCAAAGGCAAAAAGCAATAGCAACGTAAAACTTAGCCTGCGCAACTTTCATTCTAACGTTAATGCACCGCATTCCTTTTATTTGCAAGTACGCTGTGACGTAATTCGTTACTTTTGTTATAGTAACGCCTACAACACTGTACGTAAATCATTAACATACTCGTCATCCTGAAATACGGCATATATCGCCATACTCAACGATCTAGAAAAAAAAAAATTCCCGTATACGGCCGCACCTGTACATTTTTTGCACCACGTCGAATTTCAAATTTTAAACACGTATAGTCTAAAAAAATACGGTACTTTATTTTATTATTAAGATCGCGAGGGGACTTTACTGATTTAGAACTGGTATAGGGATGGCTGATATGCTCGGATGGCGGAAAACTACCCAGTTTGTTGGAAAACCCTTGTGAATACCGCGAAGAAGCTTAAACTGTGACAAACGAGTTTGGCGAGATAAAATATTCAGCAAAAAGACTTCGCTGGAAATCAAGTCTCTACAGGGCGGCTGCGGCCCGGCTCAAGTTTACGTGCTCCGAATCGAGCACTTCGCGAGAACCGCTAAAACTGGGCGTGAAAACACGTCTTTTGGGCGAAACGAGTTTGTTTACTGCGAAGGTTGCGTACGTCAACGCAACACTTGCATCGTCCCTTCTTTTTTTTTTAACGCTTGGTCTGGAATGCTTTTAGGGTTCCAAACGATTTATTCTGATAAAAACCACTTAGTTTTACTAGCGCAGTTTTTTAACAAGGCTGGGCACGGGAGAGCCCAATATCTGTGAATCGCTGCTGAATTCTACTGGAAAACTTTCCACGCGACTCACGCTTCAGTTTTCATTTTCTTTACGTCTTAAAGAGGACCCAGT